TATATATATATAGTACTTTGCATATTTTTTACGCAAAAGCCACCTTACGCACTGTTACCTCTCTACTTTTTCGTGATATCGGATTCCGGGACAGGGTTTAGTTGACCTGAAGGACGTCTCACGTCAGCGCTATTCACCAACGACCGGAAAAATTAAGCCCGAGCATGGTGCTATCCAGCTTATGTTCGTTTACAGCACTTCATAAAACAATGTTGGAATCTGGAACTTCAGCTTCATCGCTAATTGTGTTGAACATTAGCAGTCCGAGGTTTCAAACCGTCCCTGGTAATGCCTTGGAGGCACCAGTTGCCATACTCCATAAGTTTCCATTTATCATCTGTCACAGCGTCCATGTTTCCTTTAAGAAAACCGGGACACAGATCGCTGTGGCTTTCAGTAGCCTGTTTTTGATGGACGGGTGGATGTCGTGCTGATTTACATAGATTCTGGGATCAAAAACCACCTTCGCCTCCGCAGTTTGAGCTGTGTAATCTTTCTTTAGCTCATCTGGACTAAGCACTTGCTTGGATCGATGGAACTGAAAAATAAGTTGGCCAACGTCATAACCTCATTCGAAATCCAAACTTCAAGATTTGTCATCTTTTCCAAAATATTAGTGTTATTATCCATCATCAGCCTTCAGTACTGATTATTGAAAGACGCTTGTTTTTTCTCTACCGTTTGTCATCTGGTACACCACTACACTAACTGCTCTAATTTGGTTTATAGATTACTGTGGTGTAAATTCCATGCTTTCGGGTCACATTCTATCTATTAATAAATAGCCGAGTTTCCATTAAATGATGGTCTATTTCTGTTGTAACGAATGAAACTAATAGTATCTCACAAAACGGTTAGTAGTAAATTGTATCGTAATCAAGCGATCAACCTTTGCGCCTTTGATTTACAGAGCATCACTGATGAAGCTATGGTTCATCTTGCGACAGGGTGCACGGAACTCCGTGTCCTGGCTGTTTCACACTGTTCCATAACAGATCTGGGTTTACGGGCCCTGGCTGGTACCCTATCCCCGACAGCCTCTGCATCTATTTTGGGCCATAATGGACCAGGTGCTCATCAGAATGGAAGTGCACTAGTTCTCCGAGTACCCGCACCTCCGACGGCCAACGGAAATGCACATCGATCCAGCGCTGGTGAAAATAACGGCGCAGATGGTGATGCAGGGAGTGGGGAAACGGTCAGTCCTAGGCACCGACGACGTTCGCCTCCCCTTCCTCTTGTAGGCTGTGTTCATCTTACCACGCTCGAAATAGCTAGATGTACTGCCATCACTGATATTGGGCTGACTGCCGTTGCTCGTGTTTGTAACAAAGTAAGTTCTTTCCTTGGCTTTTCCCTTTGTGTATTATTTGTACATTTATAGTTCTGAAAACCTCGTTTGCTCCCCGTCTAATGGCTTTTCATCAAATGATAAAAGTGATTTTTTCTTAACTTTTCTGAATAAGAAATTAATGAAGTGTAGAATCGTTATTTTTCGCTTTGGATGGTCTGAGTTATATGTATATGTCGGTTGTTTGAGTCAGCTGCGTGTTGAAGCTAGTCTTGTTAGTCATATATACGTTTGAGTGTGAACTAATGACGATGGCCAATGTCACCGGGCTTGCAAATTCTCGAAACCAATACCTATGTTGTATCTAGAGCTCGTCGAGATCTTCCTTATGCTTGTTTTGTGCCTAAAGTTGTTTGAGTGAAACGATCATGTGGTGGAAAGCGGGTAACTAATTAATGTAATGCATTGTCTATGAAAAAGGCGAACAAATGACAGCAAACAATTAGTCTTGAAAATTTGGTGACTTCTGATCCGGATGTTTTACCTGCAGCGTACGATTTTGCATAAAGACTCATAAACAACGAAACAGTGGCACCGAATTTTGCTACTGTTTTGGGACAAAGTCAAAGTCAACCTTTTCTGCTTACCATCAGTTGGCGGTTGTCGAACTACATGAACGTTCGGTTGTCTTAGAGTAATCGTTTCTGTGGGTCTTCCATTCATCGGACTGGTTCTTCGGACGGTTCCGAACTCCCTTGCTTCTTTCGAATCGCCGGTGGAGTTTATTTCTTTTCTGTCGAGCGTGCTTTATGGTAGTTCGGTTTTGAACAAGCATGGTCAGGCTCCAACAGCTCCCTGTGTAGGTAGTGTCCTTTTTCCAGCGTAATACGTGAAGTTGGGGGGGGGGCAGAGGTTTTGTTTGTTGGAGGCCTAATACTCTAAATAAAGCTAAAATCAAACGAGGTTATGAGAATGTTACTTTTTGACCACTTTGATACGAGAGTTTCATGGTGCGCCTTCAAAGCACGGCGTTGGTGAATCCAGCCACCGGGACCATTCTTATTTCTGTAATTGGACATCTAAGGAGCGCACTGAGTTGCATTCAGATTAGGACCACTTGATTTGTTTTTCATACGTAAGACTTGCTTCGTTTCGCTTTATTCAGCGAGCATAATGAGGACTTGTACGATGGTTATTCCGTTTGTGTCTGATGTAAAAAGCTCCCTACTTGCTTACTAGTGAATGTTGCCAACACAGAGATTTTACGCACAAAAAATCAGGTCGCAAAGATTTGTTTCTTCAGATCTATTCTCTACACCAACGCTTACCTTAACGGTAGAATGTATGGCGCATTGACAAAAGCACTGAAAAGACTCTTGAACTCCTACTGACAATCTGATTTTTATTTACGGACGGTGGGCATGATGTCCTTAATGAGGAACTCCCAACTCTGGTATATTTTGATATACACTAAGATTGTTTCTCATTCGGTTGCGTATTGTTTCCCAGCGGTCCGGCATCCGTTTTCGTATGATTGCGGCCAACTCTTTGTTAATATTTCTTACATTTTTTAGTTGGAGAAACTTGACCTTGAGGACTGCGCTCTTGTCACAGATGCCTCGCTAGCTCAGTTAGCCGTACACTGTCCACATTTGAACAACCTCATCCTCTCTCATTGTGATCAAATCACCGATGAAGGCATTGCACGTTTGGCCGAGGGATTATGCGGTCCAGATCAACTACAGGAATTGGCTATGGACAATTGCCCTTTGCTAACCGATACGGCATTAGAACACCTGGGCAGTAACTGTCGCCGATTGCAAAGACTGGATTTATATGACTGCCAGCAGATAACAAAGCAAGGGATTTTCAACCTTGAGGTTGGTGTACCGTTTGATCTTCTTTTGATGCCCACTTGGTTTAACATATGCTTCCGTTACCCTTACGTTTTATCCTGTCACTGAGTGCCCACCTCGACTGATTCGTCTGTCTTGTGGACGATGGCTGATTGAGAAACCATATGTGAATCGCTCCGTGGCAAAAATCACTCAGTACGAATTCAATGCGATACATTTTTTCTGAATCGCATTTCCTTGCTTTACCGCAAATCCCGTAGTGTGCAAACTTTTGTCGGCAATGACGTGCAGTTAACCAGGCTGTCACGTAACTCACTGTCTAACCAGTTGTTCAAAAATGAAGACGACCCAACAGTCATTTGTGGATTGCTTATTTTATTGTTAAACCCAAGGCACGTGTCTGCAATCCACATCAACAGCTCAAACGACTTGTTGGTTTTGTGTCCTTTGCATGTACTCTCCACGTTGTTGACAATTTCGCCAGTGCTTCACTGTTGTTGAGTCCGAAAGACCGAACATGTGGGCATTGTATCAACATAGTGGGAATCATTGAAGGTTGCCTGTGATTTTTTTCAGGAAATTGGTTATCTCTTAGGATGGCAAGGTGATCTTCCTAGATTTTAAGACTAGTCAGATTCATCCATGCAACTTTCCTATTCAGGAGCTACGAATGAATCATATGCTTCAGTCTCATTTGCTGCAAACTATTGAGGCGTAATTTGGGATTTTCTCTCTCGTTAATTCATCAATAATAGACAGCACCAATGGACTCCCCTTGCATATCCGTATGGCGGTGACGGAAGAGGACGGTTGGTGCGGAATAGTGCCAATTCGCATTCCCTTCCAACCCCAGTACCCGTCACATTGGTGACGAATTGACGAACGCAGTAATGCCGTCCCGCATAAATCGTCTTCTGTTGGTGTTATCCAAGTAAACCGAAGAAATTTAGGTACTTGTGCTGAAACGCTTTTCAGGATACAGTACAAAAATAGTTTTTCCTGCGGATAAGATAGTGACCTACTACTCTTGTGTCCCTGGGCACTTTCGATTTAGAAAACCAGCCATGGTCCCGATAATCGGTGCACAGGTTTTTATGGATAGCTGAGTAACCGGCATGACTTTGTTTCTTATTGCGTCCTGAGATCATTAAGGAAATACACATCGATCTTTTCTGCAACATCGCTGTTTTACTGACACCTAGTGTGCTCGTTTGGGAAAGCGCAGAAAACTTGTAATTTTTTGTCGCTGCCTAAATGGCGTAGCAAATGAATATTTGCGGGGTTCTTATGATTGATTCAACTGTCTTAAGGTCAAATATCATTTTCCCGCACACTGATAGTAATCCCTCTAGATCACTTAGTCCGGTCACTCGAACCACGTCTTTCCACCTCATTGCGATATCAGGCCTTTTTACTTCGCGATGCAGAGAAACATACGGATATTGTCCAATTTATGCCGCAAGGGATTCAAGGTGCGCTGACTACCACGATAAGTGCAGTTTATATGCTGGATGGCGAAGTAGGAGTGGGTTTCAAGGTTTTGTGTTTTTATTTTTCAGCACATTATCCATAACCAATTAACCTGAATTAATTCACCATCTCTGTGCTTCAGTCTCAATATCCACATCTTCAAGTTCACGCGTATTTCGCTCCGAGCACTCCTCCGGCCACTGCACTAGAGCGAAGGCGACGTTACTGCAGGTGTTGTCATATCGTATGAGGCGACGTGCCATCTTGTCATTGTAGCACCTGCAATTTCAGGTGCTATGCTAAATGGTCTTTCCCAATTTCTCGTTTCGGTCAGTGCCACTGTTCGCGCAGTTCTTAGAACATCTGTTGATCTATTCCTACCACTCAGTTCAAGTATGAAACAGCTCCCTGGGTACTTTTGGTGCTTCACTGGCCCCTCGCGGAATTCCTGATCTATGTTCCTTTTTCGTGATCTCAGTCTTTCGGGCTTTTTCACCAATGCCCCCATTCCGGTCCCGAGTATATGGTTTGATCCCCAACCTATCACTCGCCTCGAGACGTTCTACTCACGACCACCGCACCGTCCGTCTATTTCTTCACGCGCGGTCATTTGCACTTCATGTTCATTGTCTTAGACCATACTGCATTTTTGTGTTCATCTCGCTACTCATGAAAAAGTTCCTCTCCTCGGATGACGATTCCCGGTTTTTGTTACACGTTCTTTTTTAACTTCCTTTGCATGTCTCCAATCCCCGTGTTTTCTCGTCCGGTTGCTTGCGTGAACTTGTTGGTGATGATCAGATCGTTTTTCCTGTGACTATCACTCTTTTCTCCCTTTGATGTTTCTGTTGACAGCCAGCGCAGGTTCGCGTAGCAACACGTGCTGTAATGTTTCTTCTGATACTGCATTACACTGACGCAACAATGATGTTGCTTCATCACTCATTCATGGTGTCGTATCTCACTCAGTCGACATGTTGTTTTTTTCGCCACTTGGATTTCATTTTATCTCATTGTCGGTTATTCAATATCACAAAGACATGATCCTGACAACTACGCTGTTTGAGACTTCCGTTCCACCGCCATCTCTCTGCATCTCTTTCTATCCCATTCCGAACCTCGCCCGACTAATCAATTACTCGGATCCGCGTTTTAGCGCAATCTTCGCCTTTTATCTCGTCGCCTTTGTGGTTACACTCGCATATGCCAACATAATCCCAAAAACGCTTATCTCAATTAAACACCGGCTATATCTATATACTCCGTACCATCAACTGTTACAACATTATAGGATTCTCCGAACAACCACCGCCACTGACCTCTTTGTACATGGTGACATTACTGATTTTCAGGGAGAATAGGCTTGCAGTTTTTAAGAAGTAATCGTTGATTTCTGTTATCATTTGAATAGCCGCGGTACATTTACATATATTGCTGAATGCACAATCCCACTCGGTGTTTTATCCTCTCTATTGATTACCTCGAAAGTTCGATTCGTTATTCTGAATTGTTTATAGGACATCAAACATCACATAATTGCTACCGTCATATCGGTTTGTTAGAATTTCTTTCATGCTGACACCCTTCGCCTTTGCACACTGAATTGCGTGTGATGCCAGCAGATCAGCGCTTTATGACCTACATGCAGTCTAAGTTTCACCCACTGTCCAGCTCCTCATTATCATGAACGGTGACAGAAACATCGGTGTTCACATTGGTGCTTCACTGCCGTACATCCACAAAGATTGTTTGGTTGAATGTGAAGTTTTAAAGTGAAAACCGAATTGTGGATGAAGGAGCGACATGGTGCCAGCCTATCGCAAGTATTGAAGCACGCACACGTCCTAGCGATCAAACAATCTGGAGAGAAACAGATGACACGAGAACCACCGCCACTTCTCGCAATGTCTCCAGTCAAGCATAGGAGGGGTCACGGGAACCTTACCCTGGAAGGCGGACCACACCAACAGTCCCTAAACTCTTCGTAATCCCTTTCACACCCCTCTGTCATGTAGCACGTTGTCTACCTCTCAGTTTGTACTCTAGTGGAGGAAGCACGGAGAACAGTAGGCGGACCATGTTTCGGCGTGCGTCGTGCACCTCTGTACCAGCGTAGTTGCTAGGTGTTTTCCATGACCGAGGTACCCGTTTTATAATTACTCCGTTACATCATTTGCCATCGACAACGTTTCAGACATGTCGGTGGTTAGAAACCTGAAGGAGACTCAGTTGGCTGCCCGCAGAAGTCCTACAATAATACAGACCTTGCTGCAGCCTGGTACACACGACCACGGACACCCGGTGGTATGTCTTGTTGACGCCAAAGTGACGCAACTTAACAATCGCAATTGGGATCTTCCAGAATCGTACACTGACTTCATCAAGCGCACTTCCATCGAAGCCAATATAACCAACGGGAAACGTAAAGTTTGCAATATTCAGTGCTTTTCCTTGAAATATACGAAGCATATTCTGAAGCATCACTTTGGACTCTGAAGTTTTGAGATGAATGCTGAAAGATGGAGTGATGGTGGGCAGGAGTTTTACTTCGTCGTTAATTGTTAGGATGATGTCTGCGTACTGAAGATCGACTAGGTTCTCACAAGCAAAGATAAAGGCACCGGTGATTCGAAAACCTTTCAGTGTGCGCGTCATCATTTTATGGGGAAGTTGAACTAGAATAGAGAGAGTAAACACTTTCCCGAGTACCACTTTTTGTAGGAATGCTTTTAAGGGTTTCACCATACAGTCGCACTTCACGAAGTATATCAATATAGGGACCTGATTATGTTCACAAACGTCTAGGACATCTGGTCATGTGCACTGGCCAATCAACCCTTGAAGTCAAGGAAAACCAAGATTGTTGGTCGTTTTTACACATGGCGTTTCTTTAATATCTGGTGGCAGTTGAAGTTGGGGTCCACGCAGCCTGTATTCAATCGAAAACTTCCTCGGTGCTCACGCACCAAGGATTCGTGTGCCGCCGAAAGATGACGAAGAATCACTGATGCCAGAGGTCCAACAGTTGACCGTGGCCGCTGGCGCATAATCCAATAAGGTCGAAATACTTTTAAAACCAGAGTCCGGTGCTGCACAAAAGGCAACTGCTGTGCGCAGCCGCATTAGGAATCAGACAGTAATGCCTTATTTCCTGCGCCTTCGGGTTATGCCAACCCCCTGCAGCCGATCAGATCAGTCTATTGAGTCATCGGCCCCGGCAGGTCCCCTACATCCTCCCACTGCCTTGTGAGTCAGGCTTCTGAGTCAAAGGCTCAAAGGTAGGGTACCTCAACAAAACTCCCTTTCTTGGCCTGGGCAACCGGGAAGTAACATTTGTCCGCTCAGTTCAGTGTCCACTGATGTTCCTCCCCAACCCCTTCCAACCGCACAAGCAAACGTCGCTGGGTCATTTGACTGTCATTTATCTGATCGAAGGGCTTTATGCTTCTCGCTGTCTAACAATGAACAAAATAACACCGTTCTAGATCCACGAGACCCTTTCTATATTTGGGCTTTCAACGTCCTCACTGTGTCAAATTCGCAAACGGGCAATGCTTGCTAAAACCTCGAAATTTTGTCTCCGAATCACGAATACTAGACCCATGCAGGGTTATGCATCTCACAACGTCAAGGATGAACTCAGTTCTTTCACTTTTCTCGCTCCATGTGTCTGGTGACCCAGAAGCAATGACTCGTGGAATATATGGTGTGGGTGTTTTCAGCCCGAGCTGAAAACGCTTTGCTTGTTTGGATCCCTGTGAATAATCGTCTTTGCGCCGTCCAGTTATCCAGTTCAGTCAACGTCAATGCCTCGATATAAAAACGGTGCCTGTTTGTAGTCTCGGCTTATGCCACAAAGGACTTCAGTTCCGATGCTGAGAAAGATACTTTCTACCGAGAGCTACCCGGGTTCACTCGTCAAGCACAAGGCACTGATATTTTGATCCTTGCAGGCGATCTGAATGCTCAAGTAGACCGTCTTAGCTCCTTGAAATCACATTTGGGCGGTCGATTCGGAGGCGATGATCGCCACACAGACAACAAAGATCGCCTACTTCAGTTGTGTGCTGACCATGAACTGTTTCTGGCAAGTACGAACTTTCAACATAAATGTTCTCACCGCATAACCTGGCGGCCACCAACTGCGAATCAACCGTGGACCTAGTTGGACCACGTGGCCATCAGTCACCGGTGGAGAGCCACATTTCAAGACTGCCGTTCTTTCTGGGGCACACCACTTGATTCCGATCACGCCATGGTATGTGCACGCCTGACAGTTCGTTTCCCTTCAGGCCCTCGCAAGTCAACAAGAAACATTCCAATGCACTATCTTCGAAGAACAACCGTAGTTCAGCAGTCTCGATCTGAGCCATCCCAACAACTCTACAGTGTACCAATACTATGGTAGCAGTGAGTATGTGGATGAAGCGTGGCAAAATGTGAAGCTATGTTAGTGGCGTTCAGTTCTGTCTGTCCGACTTCTCCCATTCGACTACAAGGCCACTGGATTTCGTCGAGATCGCTATCAATGATTGATACCGGGAAAGTCACACCAGCAGGCAATGAGTTCGACAGCGCACACAAGTCCCTCAAACGCCAAATAGTGAAGAGCCTAAGGAAAGACCGAGAGCTCTGGTGGATATCGAAAGCCCTATATCAACTGATACGATCGACTGGCTCTAGGAAAGCAACGGTCAGTAAAACAACAGGTGGAAAAGGTGGCTCAATAATTCACTCTCAAAAACGTCGACTGGAAAGATGGGCCGAACAGTTCGGCTGGTCTCCTGCAACACAGCCTGTGGAGATAATACACACAGGCGAATGGAATGTAAACCTTGATGGCGCATCGGAAGAAAAAATAAAGTACGAAATATCCGTACTGAAATGTGACAAGCCACCAGGACCGGACGGTCTGTATCCAGCCCTCTTCAAAGAAGGCGGAGAATCCCGGACGATCCATCCGACAAACATTATTGGTGTTATATGTGACGAAGAGAACGTGCCTTCAGAATGGGGCATGTCGACGGTTATCCCCATCTTCAAAAAGGGTACGCAGACGCTGTGTGAAAACCACCGTGGCATCAGCCTGTTAGCTGTGGCATCAAAGGTATTCTCTGGCCTTATCCTTCGAAGTTTGACTGAACACAGGGAGAGGCAGTTCCGTGGAAACCAAGCTGGTGTCCGTCCTGCAAGAGGATGCATCGATCATATCTTCACCCTCCGACGGATTCTGGAAGAACGACACTGCTTCCAGCAACCAACAATGGTTGTGTCCCTCGATCTGAAGGCTGCCTTTGACTCTGTGAACCGCCATGCATTGTGGCATTATCTGTGGATCTGACCCTGTGGTGATGCAAACATTATTAAATAAAATAATTCTGCCTCACGGTTCGGCATGTGCTTCACAGGTGCAAAGCGTAAAGTGATACTGCAATACCGGGCGAGCTCGAGCCCTAGCCTCATGCTTGCGGATGAACCGATTGAGGTAGCAGACTAACTTGTTTCACTGGGCAGTTGTATCAGTCCCGGTAGTCTCGCGGAAGGTGATATTTTCATCCGGATCGGAAAGGCCAGAGCAGCTTTTGTGAACCTGCGTCACCTGTGGCGTAGGCGTGACTCAGCTTATCCGTCAAGGGTCGAGTATACAGTGCTGCGGTGCGCTCCATATTACTATACAGATCGGAAACCTGGTCGCTGCAGGCCGAGTACGTCATTGTTTGACCTTCTGTGTCTGCGGAGTACTGTTCGGGTATTGTGGAGACACCGGATAAGCAATGCTGAAGTACGTCGAATGGTATTCGGGAGAAATAACTCACCCTCGATAGATGAACCGATCACACTGCATCGGTTGCGGTGGCTTGGCCACGTGCTGCGTATGCCAGTCGACCGACTTCCTCGAACGGCTCTTTTCGCTCAAACAAGTGAAGGGTGGAAACGAGCCAGAGGTGGCCAAACATTGACTTCGCAGCGAAGTATAAAAGTCATTGCCAGCAAACTCAACTCCATTGGTCATTTCTGTCTTCCTGGATGAGGAACCAAGACGGACCAATGGTTGTCAGACGCCCCAGTCGCGCCCTAAATGGCGCTCTTGCATCCAAGCTATTGCCTTCAGTGTATAGCTCCCTTCCCAAGTCCCCACTTAACAGTCCACTGACTGTACTGTATTTACGCACCAATTTGTCAGCTCTCGCCTCCAATGCGTAGCTGCCACCCCCCCCCCAAATCATCGGTGGACGATACTGTGGCAGCTACAACCACTGTACGACAAGTACGCGGTTCTTAGAGCTGACGATGATGGTGTTACAACGGGAGCCAAACTTATGCCCCTGTACTTAATTCATACTCTGAATGCTCCTTTTGAAGATGAAAACTATTATCGACTGGCCAAGTTGTTTGAGACGGTTTCTTTCTCCAGAATACGTGCAAACCAGCTAAATTGTCACTGCGAGGAAGAATTCACTGTC